TTCTGACATTTTGGATTGAAAAATCTTCCTGGATGGAAGAGAAACGTCTTCAAACTTGGAAACAAAGTCCAGAGGATTGATTTTAACTTTTTTGCAATCACTGTCGTGTTTTCTGACTGTTTCTGCTGCCTCTGATAGAGCTATACACTTGAAAGGAGAAGGAACAGCAAAGGTTTTCTCCTGGCATCATGTTTGGTTGCTTTTCTGAGTGATGTGGCTTTCCTTCTTGTAAAAGTATAATTTTTAAAACTACTTAAAGTATAAAAGTAAAAGTAATGCAGAAAAACTGTTAATGCCAGAAGCTTTACTGCTCTACTCTATTAAAGGAACGTTTTCTACATTTCTGGATGATAACTTCCTTAGACTTCATTTTCTTAGTTTTATAACTAATAGTAACAGCGTCACATTTAACTTCACATCATCTGGAAAAACTATTTATTTTGGTTTGTGGTGAGCAACAAGTTGGGGCAGCACCGAGTCCAACCACAGAGAAATTGATTGTCTGGATGAAACTAATTATTTTGATGGTTTTTATAGTTTTTAAACACCAACAGGCCAGAATGAAAATGAGCTTAAATGAAACCAAACTGATTGAAGTTGGAGTCATTTCAGGTTTTCTCTTTCCTGCAGACAGAATCCAGCAGCGACCTTCTGCGGAGCAACAACCTGCTGGAAACGCGTCTTTATGCAATAATCCAGTTTGAATGAAGAGTTTTCATTTAACTGTTTCCTTTAAAAGCGCGCAGTGGTGGGGGGGTGGAGCTGAAGTTCAGCTGGAAACAAGCTGTTGATCTGGAGCTGTCCTCGGTGCTGAATCGCTAAATCCAATTAGCCTCTCCACCCCCACCCCCACCCCCAGCCTCTCTTCTCGGGCCGACCGTCAGCGGAACCGGGCGCTTTCTGCGGGCTCTGCTTCCTCCTCTTCCTGCTCCGAACTTTGGACCGAGATGCGGCTTCTGAGCGGCCGAACGGTTCTGGGTGGAAACTGCGGGTCAGCGGCTGGAAGCGGGGGGGTCCTGGGAAGCAAAAAGTTCGGCTGGTAGGAGATTCGGCTGAGAGGTGAGTTCATCCAGGACCTTCAGTGTTTTAAAGTGTGCTGGATTAACGGGATGTTCTGCTCTGCTGTGCTTCTTATCGGACTTTGGACCTGGTTCTGACCCTGGTTCTGCTCCTGGTTCTGGTTCTGATCCTGGTTCTGCTCCTGGTTCTGGCATCTATTCAGCTCCTCTTGGAACCATCAGAAACAGCCTGTTTAGGATTTAAATATATTTACCATCATCTGATGAAGAAAATAAAGTCTGTTCTGGTTTTGGTTCTGAACAGGACCAGATGGGACGCATTTTTACGATGGTGACGTAGCATTCTGGTCTGTGACGTAGCAGAGTGTCCCAGGAGAAGATAGATGGGCTAAAATTAGCTGAGGCAGGCCTGAGCCATGGGAGCTGATGTCCAGGTTCTTCCTGGGATTAGTGGGAAGTTACACAATCTGATTTAAAGGTCAGTGGACAGTCCAGCCATCCACCAACCAGAACTTTTACCAAATCATTAAAAAGTTTTCAACCAGAAGGAAATCTAAAGTTCAGATGCAAAGCAACTGGTCTCATCCGATCAGTACCGGGCCAGCAGAACCTCCCTGATCTAAAAAAAAATAAAATCAAACCCAGATGTCTCTAACAGGTTATAAAGCCGTTTGGGTCTCCAGAGAACCAGAACCTGGTCCAGTCCTGGAGGAACCATGGATGCTGCTGAACTTTCCAGCCTAAAAAAAGGAAATAAAAGAGAAATCTGTGAGTGGGACCTACTTCCATAAATCCAGACTGGCTTCATTAAGTCCTGTTTTATTCATTTTAGTTTTAATAGGATCTCTGACTCTAAATGATCAGATGAGGACAGACATCGCTGCAGATTCATTCCTCTGTCAGAAAATAATCTGCTTCTGGTTAAAGTGTTAAAAAAAAAGGTTTGACGTCAGAAAACATTAAATCAGAATAAAACAATCGATGATATTTGGTCAGTAAATG